GTTAGGCCATCGCAGACTGGTCAGACCCAACTGAGGCTGGACAGCACTGGTTCCTGAAGCTACCTTGGGAAGGGTGTGCTTGGAGACAGTAGACTGCACAGTAATAAACTTGAATTTTCTTGGATAGGACAGTTTCAAACTCAGGCTTAGAGCAGCATCCACCCCAGGACAGAGGCCCGGTGTTATACCTACTGGAAACTGAGTGTCTGCTATGAATGCCTTGTGTTCTTACTTTTCTCAAAGCATCACATGGTTTCTGAGGCTTAGCACTCACCAAAATTGAGGGCTGCCCTACAAATTTTGTGTCCAAACCGAGGATCTAAGGCCAGTGTTCACCCTTGTACTATCTTTGCTCTGTATTCAGGATCCACTATAAATAGAATTTTATTAGATGATTCATGCAATGGAAAATTTACTGTCACTTTTAATATTAACTCCCCTCCGTCCAAAGGAAAAGCACAGATGGAACTTTTTAAAGAGATGAGGTAGGGTGGCACGGGCCCCACCTTCAACTGGGAGAGCAAATCAAGATGGCAGGAGACTCAGGGCACCAGGGCCTCAGATCTCCTGGCCAGAAGACCCCAGTGAATCACTGTGCCTCACTAGGATCCCCAGGTAGATCCTAGGGTGAATGTAGATAAGGTTTAATCTAAGGTATTGTGCAATCCCAGGATTCTCTAATATAAAGGAGGGACCTGAGGGTGCAGAAATTAAAACCTGTATTTTATTGGAGGAAAGAAACCTCCCCATTTTTCTGGGATGTCTATACATTGGGTAATGAACACCAAGGGGAGCAGGGAGTGTCCTGTCACCTCATCACAAGAATGGCAATTCCTGGTACAGGAGGTGGGATTTGCAAAGTGAATTACAAATGTCAGATTTAAGTCTCCTGACAGTCATTTATGGATTAAGCTATCAAGCACCCCTTTCATGAACTGTTTTCTTCTCCCTCCATATCTAAATAAATGGGACCTTGAAGGTCCTGGTCAAGTAAAGCCCAGGGGACTTGCTCAGAGTCAGGCCCACTGGGTGACAAGGGAGCCACAGAAAGCTGGAAGTCAGGACCAGTGGCTCTGCTGAAGCCCCTTCCATGTGCAGGCCATGAGGCATGTCTGCATTTTATCTCATTTGCTACTGTTTATGTTTTTTAAAAACAATGTTTAGTTCCTATCTCCATTGCTTTGATTCATGAGCTTCACCACTATTACTCAAAAATGATAGAAATTATCCATTTCTGGGTGCTGGGACAATGGGACAAGGGTGATGTTGAGTCTCCAATGTCTGGAGCAATTATCAGAGTGTCATTCCAGGAAACCTAGGGCTGGGCATTCTCCTCCCACAAACTTCCACCTGGATGGGCTGTGTGATTAGCAAGTTTCACATCATTATTAATCCCTTCCCAGTTAGACCAGATCTGCAGTGCTCCATACATCTGGTTGAAATCTTACAATTATGGGCATGGTAGATGAGGAAATCAAGACTTGGGGTGTAGGTTATTTGTTCAGGTCACAAGTGTTAAAGTGACAGCCTGGATACCAAATCAAGTCCATTACATTATTCCTTGGCATAAGGTCTGGAGTTGCCTGGACCTAGGAAAGTATGTGGCAGTTGTCTTAGTGGTATGTGTGTGGTATAGGGGGTGGTATTCTAGGTCACAGGGTTAGAGGCAGGATTCTAATTGGCTTTTGAGCCTCAGTCCTTTGTTTCAAATTGGTAAAACAACCAGAAAGCCAATTTCACTGGAAAACTCTTCTTGGTAGTGGACAATCTCCAAGGGCAGAGGCCAAGCCCCTCAGAAAAGATTCTGCCCTGCTCTGCCTTAGGGCTGGAAAAGGTGGAGATGACAATTTTGGTCTTAGGAGTACGATGGGGAGCACTCTTTGTGTTTAGGAAGAGGAGAGAATGCCTGGGTTCTTGGAGATTTTGCACAGCAAGTGAGGAAGCAGGTTTAGGATGTGGGATTGGAGAGGGTGAGGATGGGGTTTTGGCTTGGGGTTGGAGCTGAAAGAATAGGGACAAATGTTCCTGTGGGCTTGGCCAGAAGGGTCCTAGAGCCCACAGTTTTTTCTTCTGGCACAGGCCAACCCGCAGGGCCACCACAATTCCTTTACTAGTTGGCACTTCTGTTTAGGCGCCCATTTCATGGCATGGGGGTTGTGGGGGCGGGTGGGAGTTGGGAGTAGGTGCTCTGGCTTTGATGTCCCTGATAATTAAGATCTTTGAGCACGTGTGAAGCCCACACCCAAAAGAGAAACCGAACACATGCTGGCTATCTGCAAAGTTTTCACATTCCGGGATAAATTTTGAAATGAGCTGGTGCCTGGTCCTCCTGTACAGACCCAGAAACTGAGGGCGGTAGAGGATGAAGGACTTGTTCAAGTTTACCATGCAAAACAGCTGCAGAATCAGGACTGTGGACTTTGTCAAGCATGGTAATGATAGAGTCTGAATTGGAAGAGAGCTCAGGGTGCAAGATTCAGCCTAATGTGAGGGAGGCACAGATGTTGGTCCCCACCCCACCCCCCATGCCCCAATGCATACATTTTGCTAAAGAGGAGAAGATAGGGCAAGAAAAGGCTTTTCCTAGAGGCCTCCTGGCCACTCCAGGGCTCATGGCTGGAGCTTGTGGGGGGACCAGAAGTGCCTGGATAATGGCTACTTTGTGGGGTGGTAAGAGGCTTCCTCTGGCTGGAGAGCAGGTGGTGTCTCTGCTTCAGGCCTCATCACTTCCCATACTTCCAGGAAGAGGAGACAAATGTGATCTTGGAGCCCTCTCTCTCCCTTTCTGGAGGTGGGGGTGGGAGTAGAGGCCAAAGGTGTAAATCTCATGGAGTTCAACCAAGTCCTGTGGGTCAACAAGCCACAGGTTACTGGGGAAGAAGAGGCTGTGTGGGTAAGGAGGTTTACAGAAGTGGTCGCTGTTGGCACAATTCAGTCCTTTGCTTCCCAAACCCACCCATTTTAAAAGAGGAAACTGAGGCAGAGGAGAGGGATGATACACCCTCGGGAACCATCCATTCCTCCTACCCATCACCACCACTATTGTTCTGAGAACACTCATAGCCAGTCACACATACCCAAGACGGCTCCCTGGGTCACCCCGTGGATCCTTTAGAAAGACCCATCCCTACAAAGGGAAATCCAATGAGAAGCAATTATCTGGATAATTCACCACAATCATCCCTGCGCCCAGGGGTCTAATCAAAACTGCCTATTTCTACTGGACAAATCAACCTGACAGTTACCCTCAGGTTCCTCTGCCCATGTAGAGGAGACCCGGGAGGTGTCCCATCCTCCTTCCCCTCCTCCACCAGAGCCATACAGAATGGGCACCCGCTCTTATGTCCGCTTTCCTCACAGCAGGGTGTCCCAAGGCACCCCGAAGTGGGACCACCTCGGCCAGAGAGTGCCAAGGTCGAGGGCCCAGGAAGGGCGCCTGGGTGGGCCGCTGTCCCAGCGGCGGCCGAGCGAAGGCTGCAGGCGCCTCCTCCTCCCTCGCGGTGCCAGCACGCGGCCCAGCCGGGCTCGGCTCCCAGTCGCCTGCCTCCGGCCCGCCGGGCACACGCCTGGGGCGGGTTGGAGGCTGCGCCAAGGCCGCCGAGGTGCCTTCGGCGGCACCAAACTACCAGCGAAGCTCCTCTAGGCCCCCAAGCTCCATCACCTACCCCCTCCCAGACTTTTTTTTCTCAGACCCACGCCGGGAATACCCCCAGAGCGATCCCCTCTTTATGCATCCCCCAGCCCGTTGGGAAATAATCCTTCGGTGGGGGGCGATGCTACAGGCAGCTGAGGTCAGCCTGGAGGGGAGGGGGTATCCCTGCTATACGAACCCATCTACAGCACTGATCACCTCCCTTCTCCTTGAACTCCTCCACCCTTGCTTAGCTGTGGGGAGCATATCCGAGTTTTTTACACCTGGAGGGGACATTAAAGGCCATCTAGTCCAACCTTCTGTTGCTACAGAGGAAGAAAATGAGGCTCAGAGAAGATACCACCTACCAAGGGACAGAGCTAGTGAGAGGATGCGTTGGAACTAGAACTAAGCCTTAACAGTTCTTTCAACAGTCCAGGGCTTCCCATGGAGTTCTCCCCATCTTTCTGAACTTCAGTAGCAAATTTGCTTCAGCGTCCCCGAACAGGGAAGACCCCCAAGAGAATGACAGTGCATAGAAGGAACCAGAAAGTGGAGCCCCACTTCCCCCACTCCCCACTTCCCCCACTCCCCACCTCCCCGTGACACTTTTTCTGCCCTGTGCTTTGCTCCAAGTTCTCAGGAGAATACCGGAGCACTTCACCCCAAACCTTTCCAAGCACACCCCTCCCAATTCCCAGGGCCATTCACCCCCCCAGCGACGCCGGCCCCCCCTTTCCTGAGCCACCCCCGGCTGCAGCCCGCCCTGAGCGCGCAGCCTGTTTATTCAGCCGGGAGTCCGGCACGCGCCAGGCGCACGCACTGCAACAACAATCCAGGCTGAATGGGGCGTTTGCAAGGAGCGGGCGCAGGGACGGGCGGGGTAAGGGGACGGCTGGAGGGGGAGTTGGGGTGTGTGTAGGAGAAGGAGGGGGAGTGGGGGCTGCAGCCGCTCGCTGCAGCAGCGGGGAGTGGGGGGCGAGGCGGGGCCAGCGCTGCGCGTGGGGCTGGGTGTCCCATTGAAAAGGCGGCCGCACTCCGGCCGCCCAGCACTCTCTCACTTCTGGCCAGGGAACGTGGAAGGCGCACCGACAGGGAACCGGCCAGGGAGGGCGAGTGAAAGAAGGAAATTACAAAGAAAGGGGGTTAACAAAATAACAAAAACAGCCTGAGCCACGGCTGGAGAGAGAACGAGACCCGGCGCAAGAGAGCGCAGTCCTGGGGGAGAGGAACGCGAGACAGCAGAGCTCGCCCGCCACTGACTTTTGCTTCTTCTTCTGCTTTTTTTTTTTTTAAACGCGAAGGCGCTAGCTGCAGCCTCACACGCGAGCGCCACGCGAGGCTCCCGAAGCCAGCCCTCGCAGGGAGGAGGGGTGGGGGAGGAGTGGGGGAGGAGGAAGAGATTTTGCACCTTCTTTGCTCCCACCCTAAGAAGTCTCCCGGGGATTTTTTTTTTTTAACTTCCCTCCAGGCTCGCTCTTCATCTCTCCCCTTCTTTCCCTCTGTGTTCGTGCTCCCAAGTCCTGTGTGTTCCCCCCTCGCGCGCCGCGCACCTCGCGTCCCCGACTCCGCGACTCCTTGGCGGCCGCTGCGGATGGAGAGCTCTGCCAAGATGGAGAGCGGTGGTGGCGCCGGCCAGCAGCCCCAGCCCCAGCCCCAGCCCCAGCAGCCCTTCCTGCCGCCCGCAGCCTGCTTCTTTGCCACGGCCGCGGCGGCGGCGGCGGCGGCGGCGGCAGCGGCGGCGGCGCAGAGCGCACAGCAGCCGCCGCCGCCGCAGGCGCCGCAGCTGAGCCCCGCGGCCGACGGCCAGCCCTCAGGGGGCGGTCACAAGTCAGCGCCCAAGCAAGTCAAGCGACAGCGCTCGTCGTCGCCCGAACTGATGCGCTGCAAACGCCGGCTCAACTTCAGCGGCTTCGGCTACAGCCTGCCGCAGCAGCAGCCGGCCGCCGTGGCGCGCCGCAACGAGCGCGAGCGCAACCGCGTCAAGCTGGTCAACCTGGGCTTCGCCACCCTTCGGGAGCACGTCCCCAACGGCGCGGCCAACAAGAAAATGAGCAAGGTGGAGACGCTGCGCTCCGCGGTCGAGTACATCCGCGCGCTGCAGCAGCTGCTGGACGAGCACGACGCGGTGAGCGCCGCCTTCCAGGCCGGCGTCCTGTCACCCACCATCTCCCCCAACTACTCCAACGACATGAACTCCATGGCCGGCTCGCCGGTCTCATCCTACTCGTCGGATGAGGGCTCTTACGACCCGCTCAGCCCTGAGGAGCAAGAGCTGCTCGACTTCACCAACTGGTTCTGAGGTTCTCGGCCTGGTCAGGCCCTGGTGCGAATGGACTTTGGAAGCAGGTAGGCTGCACTTTGGAGTGAGCAGGGGGTGTTTTCTTGTCTACATTCTTTTTCCTCCGTCTTAGCGTCTGTCGAAGGTGGACTGCCTCTACAGAGATGGGAGGAGGGGTTGAATTAAAGGATTTGTTAAAGTTGGTCTGTTTCAAATCCTGGTTTGTTAGTTTCAGCATTGACCTCTGGAGAGTGGCTTTGCCCAGGTCTCCGAGGACTGGAGGGTAGGCGTGAGGTGGAAAGACACCGGCGAACCCCGCACTGGGAGCTGTCAAAAGAGGCGCACTACCTGAGCGATCCTCCTCCAAACCTCCATTTCTCCCACCACTAGCCGCCAAGTCCCCACTAACCGCTCCTGTTCTTCTTCTGTTCTAGGTGACCGCACAACCTGCATCTTTAGAGCTTTCTTGTCAGCTAAGTTTAAGGGAGAGAAAGAAAAAGAAAAAAAGAAAAGAAGCAGGAAAGGGGGAGGGAATGAGGCACCCAACGCCAATCAAACGACGCATGCCTGAGAAGCAAGGCTCTCCCCAAATACGAATGCGCTCAGAACAGTATCTTTGCACTCCAATCACTCATGGACATATGGAGAGACTAGGACCTGAGTCAATGCGCAAAATGCAGCTCGTGCAAAAGCAGCGGGCTCCTGGCGGAAGGCAGCGGCACACGCGCTATAGAAACTCCCACCCTGCCGTCACCTCCCCGCTCTCTCTGAAAGTGCATTTCTTAGCCTTCTAGAAATGGGTTGGTGTCTTTCGTCTCCGTATCCCCCCATCCTAATAAACTGTGGACATTTGTCTGCAGTGAAATTACGTTAAACTCAGTCTTTTGAAACTACGATCCTCCGCGGCGGGGGGTGGGGTTGGGGGGGTCGCCTCCCCAGGCTCCACTCTCTCCCACCATATTTTCTACCGTTTTCATCATAGAATGCTTCCAATCTTTTGTGAATTTTTTTATTATAAGAAAAATCTATTTGTATCTATCCTAACCAGTTTGGGGATATATTAAGATATTTTTGTACATAAGAGAGAAAAAATTTATAGAGTTTTGTACAAATGGTTTAAAATGTGTATATCTTGATACTTTAACATGTAATGCTATTACCTCTGCATATTTTAGATGTGTAGTTCACCTTATAACTGCCATTTTCCCTATGTGGCTTTGTAAAGAACTCTCCTCATAGGTGAGATCAAAAGCCCACCAGATGTACTTCAGCACCAATGTGTCTTACTTTATAGAAACTTTGTTAATGTATTAATGATGTTATTAAATACTTTTCAAGAAGAACAAAGTTTATGCAGCTACTGTCCAAACGTAAAGTGGCAGCCAGTTGGTTTTGAGAGGTTGCCTTTTGGGAAGTTTCTATCACTGCCTTTTTTTTTCTTACTGTTTTATTACAAACTTACAAAAATCATGTATAACCCTGTTTTATACAAACTAGTTTCGTAATAAAACGTTTTTCTTTTTTACAAATGGAAATAATGAGTTGTCTCCAAGTCTTCTTTGACTCCAGTGTCTCCATCCAAGTTATCATCAAAATGTCAAAAAGGAGGAGTGGGTGGGGGAGAAGAGGGTGGTGCAAGATAGGCTAAGTGGCAGAAATGACAAAGATAAGTGCTATGAGCCCTCCTACCCCAGATGACTATGGGATGAACGAAGAGAAGAAAGCTTTATATTTGTAAAGACAGTTTTCTTCCCTTTTATGCTGCAAATTACACATTCACACAGGGAATGGGTGGTGATTAATGGCTGCACATTCTTGTAATAAAGTGACTACATTAAAATAATATCCCCAAAAGTGAACTAGAAAGAGAAGCTCCCCACCCCTCTTACCCATTCCAAGTTTCTCATTGTGAAACTGTGGAAGGGGCTGGATGAAGTCATGGACACCAGGGGTGGATGGAAGGATGGATGGAGTTGGAGGTGGGCATGGGGAAGGTAGCTCTCTCCACACTCCCTGTAAGGGTGTGTTCTTCCTTCCCTTCCAGGCACACATTTTCTACTCCTTTTCCCCTCTACACACACTTTCCATACTGATTTTAAATAAAGGGCACGTATGATATAAATTCTTTGCAGAAGGAGTTAGATTTAAATAAATAAAAGCCTTAGAAATGTGTGGTCTCTTTGAGACACTGGCCTATCTAAGCTTGTGACTCTATCCCAACGGCGTGAGCTGCGTGTAAAAGTACCCAATTACCAAGATTCAAAAAGAAATTGGTGGGTTTTTGGCTGGCTTGCTTCTTGTCAGTTAGCAAGGACGTGATCAGAATCCTACTCCCTCTCGCTGGCTCCTCGCTCGCTGCCTGCATTACTTGCAGATTCAGTTTGCGTGTCTCCAGCCAAGCGGAAAGCCGAGCGCAAAATGCATCTTACAAAACCCAACAAAGAACGGAGAGCCAGCACGTCTTCCAGAGTTAAAAATCTAGTCTGTGTTGGTACATCTATACCATTTAGTTGCACAGAATAACCATTTTTTAAAGCCTCGATGCGCGGAGCACGCCACAGCGTCTGATGTCATTTTGCTAAATGACCCTCTATAGAATGCACATTGAAGCTTCAGTCCTTTTCAAAGAGATGAGCGTAATTAAGGGGAAAAAAATCAGTAAATTCCTCATCGCCATAAATAATCAGACTTTCTGCCAGCAGTGGGCCAATTTAGAGCTTACTTGAGGGAAGTAATGCTTTTGTGATGCCTGCTTTTATTTTTATCTTCTCATTTGGAGGACCAGAGCTAGGTGCCCCCCCCCACCCCATTTCTTTTCTTTTAATTTAGCTTCTTTGCAAGTTTCCAGATAAGGTATGCAAAGAAAGTGTAGCGAGTCATTTATGGCTATGAATATAACATTAGGATAATGTTTCAGCCCCCACAAAGGGGATTTCCCCCCTCCCTTCTCCTCGTGAAGACAGGTGTTCTTTTACTCACTTCTGAATGGGAAATATCCAGTCTCGTTAAACTCGAGGCAAAGTTAGCCGTTGTTTGCTACAATGCGAAGGCAAACTCTAAAAATTCACAAAAACACACACAATTTTGCCGAAGCTAGGAAAGGGCAAAGCAGGGATTGGGCAAAATCTCATTACATCTGCTCTAATCGCTTAGCAACACAAAGCCGAGGCTTGTGCGGGGAAGGGAAGCCATTCACAGCGCTGTGACAGGCCGCATTCAGCCGGCATTAGTCAGCTCCATAAATCACCGCTGCCCATTGGCTGCGCGGCGGGCTTTGGAGCGGCCCTGTGCTGTCAGCGAAATACAAAATGTAGACCCCAGCGGCTAGCAATCGCGGCCTTTCTCTTGTTTTAGCCCCCGCCTCACTTTTTGGGGGGGCGGGGGGCGGAGGATGCTGGCGGGGGGAAAAACTGCCTTGACTTTATTGACTGAGAAATCTTACCTATTCAAAAGATGGCCTGGAGACCACCGAGTTAAGACTGGAGACACGCCTGAAATTGATGAGGAGGTGCAGGGAGTGCAGGAGAGTAAGGAAAATGGACCTGCCGCTGGCTGCAGAACTAAGTGCTCCGTGGCTGGGCGGGAGCTCCTGGGACTCAAGTTTCACTTCCCTGATACAGCCTTTTAAATTTTTTAAATTGGGAGTAGGAGGGTGTGTTTGGAGAAGAATATATCTCAAGTTCATATCAGGTGGGCCCAGCAAGGAAGAAAGAAGAAATCGGTCTGCTCTCTGTACAGAGCATCAAAGGCATAGAACTGAGATGTAGTAAGAAAGAGGGAATAGAAGATATATTTCCAACTTTGCTATTGTTGAAGGGCTGGGATGTTAGAACACAAAATCAACAGGCCAATTCCTTTTGAGCTTAACTATTCCTATTTGTGATGTCAGGTTGATGGTAACAGCAACAACTAGAGGAGACAAAGTAAAGGACTTAGCACCTGGCCTGGCAGGGGAGATTACAAGCTATATATAAATGTGAATGTTGTTGTTATTCTAATCTTCCACTCTTCACTCTCTTCTTCTTGGGGACTGGTTAGTCGATGCATGTGAATCACAGCCTAGATTTAAGGCTAACTCACAAACCACACAGAAAGAAGCCTGGGAGTAGATGTAGAGTTAAGGTAGGCTTTCTGCAAAGCCCAGGTCACGTTACTCCAAACACCACCTCCTCCCAGAAGCTTTCCCTGACCACTCTAATACAGCCCCACCAGCCACAGTCATTCTCTATCCATTATGCTTTTTATCCTTCCTGGCATTTACCACTGTGTGAAAGAACTGTATCTTTGTTTATACTATTGCTGTCAATCGCCCCCTACAAGATGGTAAACTCCATGAGGGCAGGGACTTACTTGCCTGGCTCACTGGCATCTCCCTAGCCCTGGGGCAACAGGTATTTGCTGACTGGATGGATGGCGGACTCTGTTGGATTGCTAGCTGGGCTAGCTATTCTTCCTTTCCTCCTCCGGATCCACTCCCCACCATTCTCTGCTCTCCTCTGTGTCTCAGGAGGCTGATACCTATGGACTTCATCACTAGCTCTGGCTTCCTGCCGGGTGTGGACAGTAGGAGGAACCAACAGGAGATTGTGAGTTAGGAGGGGAGGTCGGTCAGGACATTTCACCACTTTCAGCTTCGTCTGAATGCTCTTTTCGTGAAGCTTCTCCCACAGCAGTAGATCTTGCTGAGCTGCAGTAATCAATGGTCCTCCCTTTCTCCTTCAGGCCCTGAGGTGATAAGGGCTCACTTGTTAGCAGTCTCCAGGTGCTGCAGCAGTGCCCCTCCCACATCTCTCCGTTAAACTCTTTTCACTTACCCTCTCCATTGTGCATCTGCTCCTGCTGAGCCAGGCTGCTACCCAGGCTGTTCTCCCAGAGGATCTCAGGGATGTACTAGTTTTGTGTAAGAGTTCCAGGGACTCATAGGGCCATCAGTAAGAAACTTCCTAGGGCAGAGGTGAACCTAGCTCTGTTCAAAACCTAATTCTGAAAAAATCACTTCATCTTTTTGAGCTGGGAATGGCTTACCTGAAAGTTTGCAAAGAATGCCAGTCGGTTTTCTCTTCTGGAAAATGAGATAATGCCTTCCTCGCATAGATCACCAGATGACTAGAAAATGAAGGGCTGTAGAGTTGGCAACGACCGTGCCAGCGCAAGAGATAACTTGATCTTCACAAGCCAGGTGGAGAGGCGGTGCTGGGGGCTTGCCATTCATGCTTTCATTTCCCCATTCATTCACTCAGCCATTCCTGCACTCCTTTAAAAAGGGAAGACAAATGAGTAAATCTAGTTAATATGTTTAGGACTTACTTGTCTTTATATGTATCTTCACAGCGAGCTCTCCAAGAAATTTTATTGCAATCTCTTTTTAAAACACTATGGATGCTTCTCTGATCTATTAACCTATTTCACTTTCCCTACTAAGAAGTCTCTGAAATTTTTCTCCCACCCTCCACTTCTAGGCCAAGAACGGTCCGTTTTTGCATTTCCCCCAGAAATTCCAGGTTACCCGGAGTCAAAGGTAGGGAGGGAAGTGGATTGGCTGGTACTGACGTTCTTTTCCCGTCGCGAATGCGAAGGGCTGGGCTCTAGCGCAGGTCGAAGTTATATCCCCTCTTCCTTTGTATGCAAGATTAGGTTGTTACAAAAGAGGGTGTGTAGGTTAATGGCAGGAAGCAAGTTGCAGCACACAGCGCGGGTCCGGAGCGCGTGTCAGGTTTAATGATTTATTCAAGCTGCCGCGCATCCGGGCGTTGATTGGCTGCAGGCATGCGTCCGCTGTCAGGGGCGCGCGCCCAGGACTCGCCCAGTTACCTGACTGCAGGGGTCATGGGGAGGGATGGGGCGGAGGGAGGAGGCGCGGGCACCCGCCAGGAATCGAGAGGTGTGAAAAGGAGGAAGGCAGAGGAGATGAGAGAGAGGGGAAGAGCGATGGGAGTTGGAGAAAGAAGAGAGGGAGGGAAACAGCAGAGAGAGAGAGAGAGAGAGAAAGAGAGAGAGAGAGAGAGAGAGAGAGAGAGAGAGAGAGAGAGAGAGAGAGAGAGAGAGAGAGAGAGGAGTTGGGAGAGAGGGGGAAGAGAAAAAGGGAAGGAAGAAAAATCAAGGATAAGGTGGGGTGGAGAGGGAGAGAGGGAGAGATGGAGAGAGAAAGAAGAGGAGAAAAACAAGCGGGACAAAGACAGCGGAGGAGAGGCAAGAAAGATGAATGAGAGAAGAGAGAGAGGTTGGAGAGGGGAGTGGGACGCGCTCCCAGGACGTCCCACGTGCGCCCCCCTGCAGGCAGCCTGCAGGCGACCGCTCACAAAGCCGCCTTTGATGCGCAGGCTACCAGGGCTATTTCGGGCACCAAATGGGGAAAGGCGCCAACCCACACTCCTTCAAGGGAGTCACTTTCTGCAAAGTACTTTGGACAGGACTGGGCCCTCTATCCGGGCAGTCGGGGCAGGAAGTGAATGCAGGAGACAAAAGCTGGGCACCTGCCCGGAGAGAGCGAGAGCCCTTGGAGAGCCCTACGGGCCGGCTGGGGGCGCG